TTTATAACATTGCCCCCCAAGATTTAACAGGTAAGGACGGAATAACAAATGTAGAAAAAAGAAGAATTTATTTTAAAAATGCAGGTCTACCAAAATGAAATGAAGATCTTTTGAATTCGCTAGAATCTGAAATTACCTATGAAGAAATAAAGATAGCATTAAAGGATTCCATGACGGGCAAAAGCCCAGGGCCAGATGGGTATACTGTTAGATATTATAAAAAATATAGTGAATTGTTAATACCTAAATTGAAGTCCTATTTCAACGCCTTGGGGGAAGAGATGGATGGATATGAGACAAGAATCACTGCAGGCTCAGGCGGTCCTCATTTACAAGGAAGGAAAATATCCTACCCAATGTTCAAGTTATAGACCAATATCATTATTGAATATAGATACGAAGATTTATGCAAAGATCTTAGCAAATAGACTGAGAGATGCCTTAATGCCAAGGGAGAGAGGGTAGAGATAATGGGTTGAGATCACATGACTCCATTGGTGGTTCTTTCAGTGGATGCAGAGAAGGCATTTGATAGCGTTAATTGGGGATATATGATGGATACATTGGAGATCCTGGGAGTGGGTGCTAGAATGAGAACTTGGATAGGAAAGTTGTATAGGAGCCCCTCTACAGTGGTTATGGTAAATGGGGAGATGTCGGAGTCATTTGGGATGACAAACGGAACAAGACAGGGCTGCCCGCTATCCCCATTGTTGTATGTTTTGTCCTTGGAATCACTGTTGGCAAGAATAAGGAAAAACTCAGACATAAAAGGAATATGGGTAGGAACTATAGAGCATAAGGTTGCCGCTTTTGCGGATGATTTATTGTTTTATCTAGGAAATCCTAGGATAACGCTCCCTAACTTAATGAGGACACTGAAGGAATATGGAGCGATGTCAAACTTAAAAATTAACCCATCTAAAACAGAGATATTAAATATAAACCTTCCAAAAAAGGAAAAAAGAGGGGTACAAGGGGAATTTCCCTTTGTATGGAAAGGGAGAGAACTAAAATATTTGGGGGTAAAACTCACTTCGGCATATAAAAACTTGTATAAATCAAATTATATAGTAATGTTAAATGAAATTAGGGAGGAATTAAAGAGGCTAGGGCAGGGGTGGGCAAACTTTTTGACTTGAGGGCCGCAATGGGTTCATATATTGGACCCGGGGGCCGGACCAAGAGTAGATGAATGATGTGTATGTGTGAATTAATATAAATTAAATTAAAATTTGTAACATTAAATGTTTAGATTAATTTAAGGTAGAAAAGCATAAAAAGAGTTATTTTACAAAACTTTTATGCCCCCCACTAGCTGCTGGCCAGCCCAGCCACTACCATGCCATCCATAGTAAGTATAGTAATATTCCCCTATAGTAAGCATAGTAATTAATCCCCCATCCCCCATAGTAATTCATCCCCCATAGTAATTCATCCCCCATATAGTAATTCATCCCCCCTATAGTAATTCATCCCCCCTATAGTAATTCATTCCCCATATTAATTCATCCCCCATATTAATTCATCCCTCATATAGTATTTCATCCCCCATAGTACTATTCCCCCCCAAGTAGTAGCCAAGTCCCCCCTGTGTCAATTTACTTTCCTTTGCTCCGTGCGTTCCTCTCGCCGTGTTCCCGCGCCATTCCGGTCTTCAGGGCGGACTGTGAGAGGAGCCTAGCTCCCCTCACGTTCGTCACGCTGCCCCACCTACACACATCCTGAGAGCCAATGTTTACCTGCCCTGGCTATTTTTTTTTTTTATCACGCTCCGCGTGGGCCGGATTAAAAGGTCCGCCGGGCCGTAGTTTGCCCATTGCTGGACTAGGGGCAGGAAATCGGTCCTGGTTGGGACGTATACATTTGATAAAAATTGTAGTAGTTCCCAAAATCCTATATAAATTCCAAATGGTCCCTATTAGGCTTCCAGAGGTATATTTTAAGATAATGAAAAAGATGATTATAAGATTCATTTGGAGAAATAAAAAACCTAGAGTATCTTATGAAGTGATAACTAGAAATAAAGAGAAAGGCGGATTGGGAGTGCCAGATTTTAAGAGATATTATAAAGCAGTTATTTTGGCTAGAATATTTGACTGGACATATAATTTAAAAGGGAAAAGTTGGGTCACAATAGAAAATTCACTTAGTGGTAATAATTTAAGTAGGAGTATATGGGTGCCGACAGAGTATAGAGGATTAAAAGAGAGCACGAGTGTGTATACATTAAATGTTTTGCATTTTATCCCACACTCTTAAAACATTTAAAGTGGGAGTATAACTCATTTTTGATGCCATTGAGAAACTCAGGGTTCTTCCCGCCAAGTAGGGAGGAAGTCTCAGGAAAATGGATCAGGAATGAGGGAGCCCAGTTGAGAGATATAATGAAAGGTGTAGAATTGAGAACACTTAAGGACTTGGAAAAGGAAGAGGGAAAGATTTTCACTAAGATAGATAGTTGGAGCTATAATCAATTAAAATGTTTTGTGGGGAAATTGCCTAAGCCTTTGAGAGCTAGTATAGATTGGAATTTGTTTGAGAGGTTATTGGGATCACGAGGTGATGGGAAACATGGTACGGCAAAAATATATAAAATTCTCACGGAGTTAGATATAGGTGAAAAAAAATTAATGTATATAGAAAAATGGGAAAGAGATTTGGGGGTGGAGATTGATGAGGTTAAACAGAAAAAAATATTTAGATTGGTTCACGAGAATATAAGTACACGGATGTGGAAATGAATTATAAATTTTTGACAAGAGGATATATTACACCGATTATAGAGTATAAGATGAGTGGGGAGAAATCACCTTTGTGTTGGCGGGGGTGTGGAGAGATAGGCACGTTTTACCACATATGGTGGGTATGTCCAAAGATACAAGTATTCTGGAGAAAAGTGGTACATCAAATTAGAAAGATTACGGAAATTGATATTAGTCTGGACCCTGGAACCTGCCTTTTACATAATATAGAAATATCAGTGAATAAATATACAGTGAATAAATATAAGGAATCAGGAGTATGGCACTTTTTAAATGCAGCCAAGGGATTGATCCCAAAGTTTTGGCGTCAAGTAGAAGCTCCAAAAAAACAGGACTGGATAGATAGAGTGGACCATATTGTTAGATTGGAGAAACTGTTTTATATCCAGGAAGATGGGTTGGTGATATACTATGCGAAATGGAAAAAATGGGAAGAGTTTAGATCAAGGGGGAGTGGATGAGAAAAAAGGCCTCTCTTTTTCCTGCCCCTCTGTGGTGAGAACATGGGTTAAAGCCTCTTTTTCTCTTGCCAAAGAGTGGTAGTCGAAGGGTGGGGTGGGTGGGGGTGACTTTGGTTTTTCTAATAGGGGGGTCAGGAGAAATAAGGAAAATATGGGAAATGAGTGTACAAGTTTGTTATTGTTGTTATACGAATGTAAAGAATTTATATTGTAGATTTTAATTTTTCCTAATATTTTGAAAACTAATAAATATTTAAATTTGAAAAAAAAAAAATTATATGGTGGATCACTTTTCAGAGAGTGATTGACAAGCAGCTGTGCAAGGTCACCTCCTTTAACCCTGAAAAGTTTACTCCAGAGCGCCACAACATGCAGCGGTGGTGCAGTTATTTTCACTTAAATTAGTCATGTTTGGCAGCAGTGCTTCCCACCAAAAAACAACAGGGGTTATATTTTTTGCTGTAACATCTGCACAACCCAGAGTGGCTTAATTTTCTTCTTTAGAGGGTGGGGGGGGATGGCAAAACCATGGCTAACTGCTTGTTTCTACTGCCCTATGGCTGCCAGTGTGAATGAAGCTTAACCCTCTTTTCCTGCCAAGTTCCTGGAGAAATGTCTCCAACAGGAATAAAAACACTTTTACCTAAAGCGACACTAAAGGTTCAAATCTTTTTTTTTAAATAACAAACATGTTATATTTAACTGCTCTGTGCAATGGTTTTACACAGAGCAGCCCCGATCCTCCTCTTCTGGGGTTCCTTGCCAGTGCTTCTGGCTCCTCTCCCTTGACTAGTTGACAAGCCTCTTGCTGTGAGGGCACTGATGCGTGCTCGCTCCTGAGCCCTGCTCTGTGCATCCAGAGGACACAGAGCTGGGGCTCACACCCCGCCGCTTTCTCCTTACTGGCTGTGATTGACACCAGTGGGAGCCAATGGCTCCTGCTGCTATGTCTCAGCCAATGGGAAGAGAAACCCAGGACAGCTGAGCACAACGTTTCTGGATGGAGAGGGGGCTCAGGTAAGTATTAATGTGGGAATGAGGGGGGAGCAGCACAAAGAAGGTTTCATGCATAAAGGAAGAAACCCTTCACTCTTTAGCAGCACTTTAAGCTGGCCATACACTGATATTCTTTTTTTTTTTCATCCAGCCATTGGGCTAAAATAAAAAAACACATTCTTCTGTCCACCCAAAAAAGGGTGAACTGCTTAATAGGGCATTCCTTTCAGTTTGGAGAGATTTCCTCTCACTTCCTCTTGTGTCTACAGGTCAGTAAATAAAGAGAAATCCCAAATGAGATTTATAAAAAAACAAACAAAAGGGGTTTTAACCATTTCCTAACGTGTTGGCTTTAGATACCTTTAATACTGTTTATTATAATTTCACAAAAATGGTAGTTTACAGGACATTAGATGTGGTGGCTGCATTAGTTTTCCTTTCTTTGACTTATGACTTTGTTCTCCTCTGTTTCCACCTGGCCAGTAACACACCTCCTGTTTTGGTGAGACACATCACTGGAGGAATGAGATAGGAGGCACAGCATTGTCAGTTTGGGGAGGGGAGTGGTAAATGTATTTGCAGATTTAGATACACTAACAAATGGAAGTCAAACTCCAGCTCACACAATATAATAAATTAGAGCAAAAAGTGTTGGGATAAAGGTTTTGTGTGAATAAATAAAAGCTGATTAAGCGGAGTTCCACTCGACCTATCAAAAAATAAAAGTCAGCAGCTACAAAAACTGTAGCTGCTGACTTTTAAAAAACAGCCACTTACCTGTCCCTCGGTCCCGTGGTGTGTCCCCCACAGCCCGTTTCAAAGGCCGTCCTGTATTCCAGGAGGCCAGCATCTTCACTGTGGGCACCTGGTTGTGAAAGCTTGCGGCTTCACAGCCGGGTACCCACTGTGCATGCATGAGCAGCGCTGCGCCACGTGAATGGTCCTGTAGTCTTCTAGGACCTGTCACGAGTCCCAAAAGACTACAGGAAGGGAGGGAGGGAGGACACCTAGGCGATCAGACCGGAAGTGGGAGCGGGTACCTGTCAAATTCGGGTACCCGCTCCCCCACCACTCCCCAAAGGTGCCAATCCTTAATGGGGAGCAGGGAGCAGTCCTTAAAGCGGAATTTCCCCTTTTGGGTGGAGCTCCGCTTTAAGTGGTTTGTCTCATCATTATTATTATTATACAGGATTTATATAGAGCTAACAGTTTCCTCAGCGCTTTACAATATAACGGGAGACAATATAGCAACAATACAGTTCAATACAAGAGGGATAGGAGGGCCCTGCTCCTTGGAGCTTACAAGCTAAGAGGGAGAGGCTAGCGGTACAAAAGGTAGTAACTGTGGGGGATGGACTGGTAGGAGGAATAGAAGATTCCATTATTAGCTGAAGGCAGGAAAGGCTTCCCTGAAGAGACAGGTTTTCAGAGATCGCCTAAAAGTGAACAGAGTAGGCGATAGTCTGATAAACTGGGGTAAAGAGTTCCAGAGGATGGTGGAAGCTCTGGAGAAGTCCTGTAGATGAGCATGGGAGGAGGAGACAAGGGAGCTAGAGAGCAGGAGGTCATGGGAGGAGCAGAGAGGAGGGTTTGGGTGATATTTGGAGACAAAATGAGTGATGTAATTGGGGGAAGAGTTATAAATGGCTTTATATGTTATTGTTAATGTTTTAAATTTTATCCGTTGGGCAACGGGAAGCCAGTGGAGGGATTGGCAGAGAGGGGTGGCAGATATGGAATGGTTAGTAAGGTGGATGAGTCTGGCAGCAGCATTCATGATAGACTGAAGAGGGGATAGCCTGCGATGAGGTAGGCCAATGAGGAGGGAGTTACAATAATCAAGGCGAGAGATAACAAGGGAGTGAATAAATTGCTTAGTGGTTTCCGAGGTTAGGAACGGGCATATCTTGGAGATGAAGTCTACAAGATTAGGACAGCGATTAGATTTGGGGCTGAAAGGACAGATGGGAGTCTAGGATTACACCTAGTACCCTGGCATGAGGGGAGGGAATGATGGTTGTATTATTGATCTTGATGGAGAAGTCAGGGGAGGGGGCACGGGCTGGAGGGAATAGTATGAGCTACGTTTTGGAAAGATTGAGTCTCATCCATGTAAACTGATACATTCTGCTTGAGAGCTTGTGCTTTTAAAAAACAACAGACTTTTTAAAATAGTAAACTAATACAGCCATCACATGTAAGACTTGGTAAGCTGTAATATATAATGTCTGCTTTTGGGTTTGATACTGCTTTAACTTGCAATGTGCCTCTGAACTTGCTAGGGGACTGACACTCCAGAAAGTGTCAAATCATTATGTGAGTTTCATTATCTGAATAACAGTCTTTTAACAATCATTATGTTTTCTTGTTTGCCACAGATGTTGATGACCTTTACTAGTTCTATGATGGATGCTTTCCTCAACCAAGTTTCTACAGTTTTATACTACGGTGATAGACTATAATGCAGCATTAGAGAGCTTGTGTGGAGCGCATAAGAAGATATTCTACAACAACATTAAATATTATACCATGCAACTTTAGAGAATCATTTTCCCCACCTTGATCCACCCATACTTTGCACATCTAAAACGTATGTTTGTCTAAGCTCCACCCTGAGCAATACAAAAAGTACACGCCATGCCTCAATCTGCACTATTATGTATGAATGAAATAAAGGGAACTATAAAAACTGAGTCGATTTTGTAACACAATTACAGTGGTTGTATGTTGTTTTCACTAAAGTCTGTTAGTGAATCTTCTGAAGATGAATGTGTCGAAAATATGTCAGCATATACCTGCTTTATGTACATGTGCTGCACTGAGTTAATTAACAAGTTCTGCGCCGCCCTTTAGCAGAAGTACTGCTACCGGGCGGCATGGGTGACCAAAAACACACACACACATATATATATATATATATATATATATATACACGTGATTTTGAAGTTCCGGGTAGGGCGCCCTACCCACGCCACCATTCGCAGCCTCAGCTGTCATCCACCGGTTCCCGGCCGCTGATTACTCGCCGGCACCCGGTGATCGCTGAGTATCTCCGACGGAGGACAGACCTGTGTATAAACAACACAGATCTCTCCCCTGTCAGCACCTGCACACTGTATGTCTCTGCAGTGTGCTTACAGTGAAGCACATACACAGACCACTTAGTAAAACAGCACCAGCACCCAGCACACAGTTAAACCTTTGACTGCCCCACATGTTAACCATTCCTGCCCTGTGCCATTAGCACAGTGTCAGTGCTTTTTATTAGCACTGATCACTGTATTGGTGTCACTGGGGATGTCAGTGACACCAACTCAGTTCCCCCCAGTGTCAGAATGCCCGCAGCAGTCCTGCAGTCCCGCTATAAGTCGCTGATCGCCGCCATTACTAGTAAATAAAATTAAAAAAAAAACTAGTAAAAAAAAACTCAAAAAAGGCCATTTGTAGATGCTGTAACTTTCACGTAAACCAATTCATTTATATGTACTGGGATTTTTTTTAGCAAAGTCATGCAGCAGAATACATTTTGGCCTAAATTTATGCTGAGATTTGATTAACATTTTTTTACTGGACATGTTTAATAGCAAAAAGTAAAAAATATTGTTTTTTTTTTTCTCAAAACTGCCAGTCTTTTTTTGTTTATAGGGAAAAAAATAAAAAACGCACAGGCGATCAAATACCACCAAAAGAAAGCTCTGTTTGTGGGGAAAAAAGGACGTAAATTTCATTTGGGTGCAGCATTGCATGACCGCGCAATTGTCAGTTGAAATAACGCAGCGCCGTATCACACAAAATGGCCTGGTCAGGAAGGGTGTGAATCCTCTGGAGGGCAAGTGGTTAAAATAAAGATTTGTTTCAGTATTTTCTTAGTAGAGGGTTTCTGGAATCATTGTAAAAAAAAAAAAAATTCTGCCACATCTGGCAAAGCTCTAGGGCAAGTTTAGCTGGCCATAGTAGATTTTTGATTAAACATTCTTATGAATGTTTGTGTGATCGTTCATACTAAAACTCTTGGAACATTCCTTGAGTTGACATATTTCATTCAAAATGTAATTTGCCATAAACACTCATTTTTGAAATGAATATAATTTCCTGAATGAAAACCACATTCACTGTTAGAAATTTGTCTCAGTCAAAAGTGAATGTCAATTTGGCTGCACTTACCTGTCCCTAACGTTTCGACATCTGTCCAGAGATGGCTGCACATCATTGGTTTCTATGCAGAAGTGAGTCTGATTTTGGACTCTCCAGCTTTAGTAAATAAACCCCTATGTGTCAGTACAACAGCTTGTAGTCTCCAACAACAGCATGTGCAACAGTGTGACAACACAGAAACACGATTAAGAGACGGTTGTTACCCTTTAACAGAGAGTACCGGAAATCACCCACATGGAAGAAAAATATATTTGAAATATATTTTAAAAATATACTACACCCAAATATATTGACATATATTTGAAATGCTACAATTTTGGCCATATTCAATATGTAAAAAAATTTTTATATATATATATATATATATATATATATATATATATATACATACATACACTGCATGTTGTATATATGTGGTACACTGCATGTTGTGTATATGTCTTTAAAAATACAAATCTACATTTTTGGAATGCATTTACAAATATATGTAAAAATATATGTTAAAATTACTTTTTTATATGTTAAAAAAAATCTTAAGACTCTATTTTAAAAAATATATATTTTAAAAAATATTTTTCAGATATTTTTCAAATTTTTTTTAACATATAAAAAGTCATATATTTTTACATATATTTGTAAATGCATTAAAACATTTTTAGATTTGTATATTTAAAGACATACAGTATATTTGAAATGTATTTTTAAAAATGTTTCATATATTTTGTAATAAAGAACACATTTCAACATGCAGTGTATATATATATATACACACACACTGCATGTTGAAATGTGTTTATTACAAAATATATGAAACATATTTTTATATATATATATATATATATTTATTGAAATATATAACAATATATTTGGGAAGAATATTTTAAAAATATATTTCAAATATATTTTTCTTCCATATGGGCAGACCTTCATGGCAGCATCACCAATCATTTATTTACTGAAAGCTACATATTTTAAGATGGAAAATGTTTAAAATTGCATTGGTATGTTTAGAGCTATTTTAATGCCACTCTTATCCTTAAAAAAAAAATACAAAATAACCTCCAAAAAGAAGACTGTGAATGCTTACTTATTCAATATTGTTTTATGTGGTGAATGTTTGTTCCCTTCCCATGTGCTGTTTGAAGGCTCTTTTGTCACTACTGTGTCCTGCAGTTACAAAGCTGATGGCGGATGTCACCACAGGATTTATCCTGGAACTGAGCATCCAACACAAGTTGTTGGCTGTACTCTGAATGAGAACCAGAATTCCAGGAATAGGAACACCCCCAGGGGTCAGAGTTGTAAGCAAGAAAAGTGTTCCATCGTTTTTTTTTTTCTGTAGGAATGATGGCAGCTCTTTTATATATTTATATATATATATATATATATATATATATATATATATAAAATATATGTATGTATATATATATATATATACATCTTTAGAAAAGTTAAAAGAACACTTTTTAATCAGAGTCTAGCATTAAGGCAATGAAACTCCTGAGATATTGAACCAATCAGTTAAGTAGCAGAGGGGGTTGTTAATCAGTTTCAGCTGCTTTGGTGTTAATGAAATCAATAACAGGCGCACTAGAGGGGCAACAATGAGCCGTCCAGCCCTTCATTTTGTAAATTGATAACAATAAACAATTAAAATATTTCTTTTTTTAAAGCATTCTTACTTTACTGCATTTCTTCACACCTGCCTAAAACCTTTGCACAGTACTGTATATATTTATTACATTGCCATTGTGATCATTGTATTTACTGTACTGACAAAAGTGTAAAGCTTTTATAACATACTGCAGCATTATTGCATTTCAACTATACCTAAAAAATGGATCTAAGCCCT